AGGGCGTGTGGGCCCGAGACCTGAGTTTGTGCCGAGTTCAACTATGTTTACTCCAGTAGAGCCCAGGGTGCTTTTTGAGACTAGACCTTTGTCTGTCTCTTGTTACTACCATACGTACAGCTTTGTTATTCTGTTTAAAAACAACAAATAATTGTATTATTAGTATTTAAAAAAAATTATTCTATTCTAAAGGTGCCACTGTGCAGAGAACGACAAACTCTGTCACATATTATAGTATTTAATGTATTAACTTGGGAGAGGGGAGGGTGGTGGACAAAAGGAGTTTTGAAGCTGGGGGGGTGGGTGAGTCATAGTCTTTGTAATATTCTAATATTCTAGATTAATTTTTCTACTTTGGTGTGGTTATTTTTGGGGGGGTTGTGCTGTTTGGATCACAACTGAAGCCACTGACAGGACAGAGAAACAGAGGGAACGGTGCAAAGGCTTAGGCGATAACTTCACTTCACTGGTGTCAGCAAGACACGGTGCACACTTCAAAGAAAGGTTACTATACTACTGAGGACATATCGACCATATTCATTAACCCGTGACCCCAACAGAAGGCACTGCAGGCTGGTGCAGAAAATAGTGCCGTCAAATGTGAGATGAAAAGTATTGTACTTAGAGGCTGATTCTGCATGAATTCCATTAAAAAGGAAGAGTGGCTTTAAAAAAAGAAACAGAAGAAGAAGAAGTGGCAGACTGGTGTTTTACAGTTTTAAATAAAACCCATTTTATTATTAAGATGTTACTCTTTTAAAACAAGAATTTTTTCAGAGGTCAGAGGTCGTAGCCGAGCCTCTGTTACGAACAGTGTTGGCTCAGAAATGTCTGTATTTAGAGAGAAATCACCAGAATGTTGCAGGATTGAAGTGCACTCCACTTGGTCTAAATTATATCGCCCCCTGCAGGGAAGGATGAGGGCTACATGGTCCGCATTTATTTAATCATAAATTGAAAGAGCAATTTTCTAAAGACGATATATTTAAGAGCAGAAACCGACTGCTCCATTAGTCGCTGCCTATTTGACAGAGTTGTTTTGCTCTTTTCCCTCATTATGGTCGATATCAGGCCTTACAAGTATAGAAACCTAAAAACAACAGTACGCTTCAACATCAAGGTTGTAAACACACACACACACACACACACACACACAGTTGTGGCATTTTTACCTGGAGAGAAGTTAAGAAAAATACTGTGTAGTTTAAGGAAAGTCTGAGTGTTGGGGAGGGTGGGGGTGTGGGCNAATATACTGTGACTGTTGCTGATGATTCACTCCAAATGGAACTTCAAGCACACTGAGCCTGCTGATCTCACACTGAGGACCACAACTGGTTGGGAAATGCTGAAACACAGGACATGATGTGAGACACACACATTCTACGTACAGTAGGACGTCCAAAACACACAACCACAACCACACACACACACACACACACACATGCATACGAGACAAACAAGTGTGTGTGTGTGAGGAGGATTGACGAGTGAAGTCATGTGCCTGCATGTTTGCGTTTGTGTGTGTGTGTGTGTGTGTGTGTGTGCTCTTAGCCTTTTCTCACCCATACACCCAGTGCCTGCCTGTCCTGCCTTCAGACAGCACACAGATCAGCCATGGGGCCCCGGGTGTTCCTTACTCCGGATTCCCACAACCCTTACCTGTTGTGCTGGGATCAGTTTTCCTAAGACCAGATTACTCCTCAGCAGCCGCAGCCATACAAGTTCAAAGGACTGTTTCTCATTCCCAGTGTTCGGCTCACGCAGCTGTTATGGTCGGACTTGTTTTTTGACCTTGTTGTCTCTGTCTGGAAGGCTGATTTAGGATCAGCAGAGGGGGCTCAGCAGAAAGACAATAATCCATTGTGTCCCTAATGACAGCTGGTCCTGAATCAGTGCAGTCTGCTGTAGATCGAAGGTTCTCCTCTTTTATTATCTAACTAAATCAGATGGCAGTTCCTGTGTCAGTTGGAGCCAGGGTCGTCTCTGCCGAGTTATAAGTAAGAGTTGAAGTTTGCTGTTAAAGTTGGATAATATCACAATATTTTCTGAGCAGATTCAATTTTGAAGTATATTAAAAAAGAAAACCCTTTTCCCGAACAGAAGAAATGACAGCCAACTTTTATCTTTCTTGTGGATAAAGTGCAATATGTGCCAACATTTAATCATTAAGACATTTTCTTGTATTTTCTATATATTGAATTGTCAGCAGGTGAACAAGTATATATTCAGCGACTCTAAAATACAGCGTTTTCTGCTTAAATAATTAAGTATAAGAGTCATCAAACATAATGTTGCCTACACTACCAGGCTGGTTATATTATTGCCCACATTGCCTCTTACAGCAATACCTTACCTTAAGCTTAAGAGGCCTTCATCTGGCAACTAGTTGAACCCAAGTCTGCCCTCTAGACCGATGATACCAGTGATACCAGTTGTATCTTTCTAGTTCGTCCAAGGAAAAATGCTGAAATACTTGTGTTGGGAATTCCAGTATTAAACCAAGGTTTAAATGATAATGTTGTTAATGATGTAGTCATGCGCTAAAACATGTAAATTGTTCTTTGTTTTCTACAGAAGGCTTGTGTAATCTGTAAACGAGAGTGCAGTAAAAGCAACACAGGGCGAACATAAATGTCTGTGTGAGAACTTCTAGGTCAGATGAAAGTCAGCAGTGTTGCATCATCACCAGGAGCGGCCCAAATCCACGAGCTGTCTGGGTTAGCTTTACTGGCTGCTGGGCCACATTGTCACGGTGCCGCAGGTAGGAGAGAATACATTGACTTTGGTTATAAGTGACCGAGTTAGACAAAGAGCCAGACGTGTTCTGTTATTTTAAAAATGTTACAGGCGCGGCAGTGGCCTTAGGAATACCCAACTGTTACTGTTTTTTTTTTTTCCAGAGAGAGTTGTTTCTGTTTGATGTGTTTATTTAGACAGAGATTAGGAGAATACGTTGTAACCAGCTGTGACTTGAAGGCTGACAGCGGCAGCTGGAACCTGGAGTGACATCGATGAGAGTCCAACGACGGCTGACGATGTTCAAAAAGGCTGAGGACGACGGTGTGATTTTATCGGACAGCTTTTTATTCTCGCTCCATTCCTCTGAGCCCTGACCCTGTGACCCCTTACTTCACCACAAACACGCACACACACACACACGCACACACATGCATGCAGACACATGGTGACGCACACACTGTACGACCCACCCACAGCACACACACACACACACACACACACCACTACAACCAACAGATAGCTGCCAGCCAGTCTCACTGTATACTTTATAATGTAAACCTCCAACAAACAGCGGTCTGACGTGAACACAGGCTGTGGATAAAAGCACACTTTTACTTATATGATATAAATATGATTACCTATATCTAGAGAAGGAATATTATATACAGTATAATAAATAGAAAATAAAGAGTCACCTTTTCAAAGTGTCTGCGGTGTGTTTATTTGGTACCCAAATGTGTGTGTGTGGACATTATTTCTTATCTTTTGCTCTTATTTACACACACACACACACACACACACTTTCTTACCCACACATAGACATATAGTCTAATCCAACTACCATGAAAATCTTCAACTGCAGAAACCCATCATAGTCACTGGGGACCTGTGAAGTATCCTCAGTTGGACGGTGTGTCCCCAAAACAAAAAATGTCCAAATAAATATACTAGCTATACCACACACACACATACACACACACACACTATGATAACAGAGTTTGGTGGTCCAACAAATGAACACTATCTAATCTTTATCTCAAACCTAATAAGACACAAATATAAACCCTGGACAGCAGTGATGAGAAAACGTTCACAAATGGTCGACACACATACACACACACACACACACAGATACATACAAGATGTGTATCAGCCGTGCTGTGTCAACCGTTCTGAATCAGCCGTCTGAAGGATAACATCTTCTCTTATCTCCACAGCCACCACGCAGATGTCTGAATGATGGAGAGGAGAAGGGCGGGGGGTAAATGAGAGTAAAGTTCTGTGAAGGAGAGAGAAAAGGACACGGAGCCATGAAAAGACCGGGTGTGTGTGACGGTGTGTGTTAGCCCGCACGCATCTGTGTGTGTGTGTGTGAGGGAGAGAGAGAGAGAAGAATGAGTGTCATTTTCTTTGAGTTTATGCCCAAAGTTATCAATGTCACTCCGGTGGTCTCCAGAGGTCACAGGACACAAGAATCCATTTTTGTTTTGTTTTTTACACATTGATGAGCGACACCAGCTCAACCTCCACGATACAATCTATAACCTTTGATGGTTTTTTTGTTGAGTAAATGTCTAACTTTAGACGCAGGTCATCAAGATGGTTCTATCGTATGACCTCTCATGCTGCTTCCGTTCTAGTTGACTGCTGGAAAAGTTCTAGTATTTATCCTCGCAGTGACTGGATACCTGCACCGCCTCAATACGGATGATTCATCTCACAATTGCCTGTTTGAATATTTATAACTGTGATGTCACCGATGGAGCTTCACTGTCGTCACACAGATTAAAGTGAATGAGTGGATTAGGTGTAGGCTCCACTTGCCTCACTGGTATTAGCAACTCTTCTGATTTGATACCGTTTCCTCTGCTGTGCACAGATAAAATCACTATTGTGCACATTTTTTAGAGAGAGAACAAATCTGGCTATACTTGACGTATTTTCTTCTCTGTGTGATCTTTCTGAACATTTTCCTCTGACGCATTTTCCACCTCCTGCAGAGCAGTATTATAGAGCTTCACTGGCCCAATAACAAAACAATGTTTTTATGATAATAACACAAACAGTCATGGAGGCTATTGAAGCAGGATATTTGGGCTCTGCTATGACATCAGACATTTTCATAGGGCTTCAAGTAGAAGAAATGTCTTAAACTCAAGCAGAAAAGGGAAATATTAACGACACATATTTGAAATGATGCTTTTATCACGTCTAAAAACAAGAACAACTCAAATTAAGAAGGACAAATCAAAGGGATCTGGCAACCCTGGAAACTCATGTGTCATTCAGATTTAAACAATGCAAATTAAAAATAATAATCATCATGTTACTGATGTGTCATTCAGAAACAAATGTTTGCATTAAACAATGCAAATTAAAAATAATAATAATCTGGGATTTATCTGACTCATTCTACAAAACAACCCACTGAAACATGCTCTTTATTTACCACATCGTGACTGGACTCATATAAACAACTGGATACAGAAATAGTAGAGCTGTAAAAGGTAAATTCCGTGTCAACTGAATGTGTCTGCATTGTCATCCTCTGCTATCAATCTACAATCGGAGCATTATTACAGTTATTTGATCTTTACAGAACACTGCTTTAGTTTATAGGATAATTTAGCTACAAAACAGTTTTGTGGCCACATAAACGGTTTTTTGTCACTCCCTAGTGGAAAATTAAGGCTATGCACGTTCAGATCTGCGGTCAGATGTTGGCAGTCGCAAACAGGTTGGTGACATTTGCATTTCCTTCTCTTCGTTGAAAACCATAAACTAAGGCTTTGTGTTCCAGCCTTAAAAACAATTAAAAAAACAAAAATAAAATAAACGAATTGTGATTAACGTGATTAATCAAACAACAAAAGACGAAGACAAGTTGAAATCGTATACTTCGGTATCTTTATTTATTTAAAATTAACACAATTAAAAATGTAACGGTTGATAAGAATTTGTCTCCTGAGTCCCAACAGGTGCAGGCGCAACGTGTGTTGCCTTCAAAAAACTGGAATTTACATCTTTATACTAGAAAACCGGTAAAAAGGTTTTGCATTGCGTTATATTTACCTAAGTTCTCGGGTGTAGTTTTAAATTAGTCAACTATTTGGTATATGTAGAAATAAATGTAAAGACGCTATTCCCAAATAGAAGATAAATTCACAGTATATTTACAGGATTAGATATCGATGTGTTTACTGCCATCTGCTGGTACCATTTCCCCCCCAATCAACATTTGCCACACTGAATCTTCCCAGTGTTTGCTATAGGAAATAGGAAATAGGAAAAATGCAATTGAACACATGACGGTGCAATGTCAGATTGGGAGATTTAATATTTACTCTCATTTAAAATGTCTTGGTGCACTGCCTTTTTAACATGTGCCTCTGAAGGGCGGAGTGTACGAGGTAACGTGAACGCATCAGCAGTGGGACCGTGCACTGTGCTGACGAGCCGTTGCTTGTGGAAACAGCTGGTGGTTTCTGTCACTGAGAGTCGTATCGTTTTAATATCCGGAACAAAAGTTGTCTCACGCTCAAAATTGACAGTACTCGGTTTGACGCGAGTCGATGCCGTTGTTCCACCAGAAGCCGGGACATGTCACTGTGTCTGCGCCACTTTTTTAGTCACTTTTGTCTCGCAACGCACTAGCTTCTCGTTAACGCACCGGTGTGACGCTGCTGCTTCTGCTAACACCCGTTAGCATTTAGCTCAACTTTATTCTCTAGCGTCACCTGCTACTTAAAACAACGCTGACAGCTGTTACTTTTAAGGCAGTTTAAGACCGGATTTCCCTCCTTATTTTTTCCCCTCTCCTGTCAGTGTCAAAATGACTCATATTCATTACAAATTCTCCTCCAAACTCAGCTACGACACGTTGATTTTTGACGGCCCGCACATCACGCTGATGCAGCTGAAGAAGAAGATCATGTGCAGGGAGAAACTGAGAGCCGCAGACTGCGACCTGCAGATAACCAACGCACAAAGCAAGCAAGGTAAAAACAGACAGATTCGTTTTTGTTTTTTTTTACTGTCATACGGGTCAGTATGAACTTTGGAAGAAGACACGTGGTCCTGAATTGACAACAGCTGAGTCGTGGGTTTTGGTGGTTTGTTGCATCACCGTTTGTTGAGCCTTTCCAGAAATGTCAAGCCAGGACAGAAGTGTGGAATGGTTTTATTCCAGTAACATTCATGGTACATGGATGTTGGTAGGTTGTACAAAGGGCTGGTGGAGGGTTAGCAGCTGTACGTACCGTCAACTGCCTGTAGAAGGTGGGATAAAAATAGAGTGGTTTCTTGATCATGACAGTTTCACATCTTAGCATAAAAGGTTAGAGAAAAATGGACAGCACAATTAAATCAACAGATTTTATATTTATATCCAGACGACCCGTTTCTAATAGGTAGGTTTTACCAATATATTTTATATTTATATCCTGACGACTCGTTTCTAATAGGTAGGTTTTACCAATAAAAATAATAATAAAATTACTTATATTATACATTTGTATTTAAAAGAAAAATGAAAAAAATCTCAATTCAAAACAGACAGATTTCCACATTCATTGTGTCGATACAAATGAATGATGCTTCTAGTTAAAGGTTTAGTTTCAATAAAAAAAAAATTCTACATTTACACAGGATTTACGCAGAACATACTATTGTATTCTTGGGTCCCTGTACGACAGAAACATACTGAACAGATTGGACAGAACTAAAACAAACATTAGCCTTAACTTGTTTCTATACTTCGACCAGTTCCAACAAAATTAAAATAATGATAATGAGTATCATTTGTCCTGCAGCCAACCCGACAAAAAGGAAATAAGTGTCAGTGTCAGTCAGTGTGTACACACGAACAGTACAGTTTCGAGGTTCATATTAATAGAAACGGGTTTGTTGGCAGCCATACACTTAACCAGACAAAGAAGGTGCCATTATGAACAGTGCCCCCCCTCCCTCCCGACCCCCCATTGTACTTCCATCCTTTATCAGCTGCTGTGTCACGCTGCCCTTTTTTTTTTTTTTTTTTTTAAACCCCCCCACTGCTGGATCTATTATCATTATCTCCTCCTCTGTGGTTTGTTTCATAGTTGCACTGTCGGTGACTCACAGAGAATGTGATGAGTCATCACGCCATGAACCACCAACAAAATAAAATGAGTAAAATTGCCATTATTTTCATTATGCAAGTCTGAGGTCTAATACTTTTAGAAAATCTTAGTAACTATGACTATATATATACATAAAAATATACTTTATATATTTATATACTGTATATATTTTTTTGCATAAAAAAAGTAAATAGCCTTAAATAGAAATTAAAAGTCACCTCCTTTTGTCTCATTTAAAGACTCTCTCAATTTTTTAATGTGTTCTCACTCAAAATACTCTTATATTTCTCCCACTCAGAGTACACAGAAGATGAAAGTCCCATTCCCAAAGGCTCATCAGTCATTGTTCGGAGAATTCCCATCAGCGGAACCAAGTCCAGCACCAGCAGCAAAATCCATCACATGTAAGTGTTAGGTTTTGGCCCGAGTTCAGTTCTGTGTGTCGTCGTTGTACCTGACTACTGTCAGACTGTCCCTAAGATATAATGGAGAACTGTGTAGCTGCTCAGTTTGAAGTTGGTTTTAAATTTTTACTCAACAGACCAAAAACCAATTCCGTTATTTTTCTTTTCTTCAGACGACGTGATTATGAAAATGTGTCCATGGTGTAACATCGTCGTCTTTAATGATTCTTCTGTGTTTCAGTGACCCTTCTCTCGCCCAGTTCCACCCGTCCTTCGTCAAATCAGTACGTAACTACGAACAACCCTCACTGCACTTCATGTTTTGCACACATTCTGCACACGGTGTCATCTAAACATAAAGGCAGAGCTCCAATATTTAGTAACGTGCACTTTGGTGTTTCTGAAATCGTACATTGCTGTTGCCGGATGTGAAATGAGGATCATCAAAAAGATTCTTACATTTTTATTAGAGTCTGTGCTTGAGTCTGCAGCTCCGACAGCTTGTGGTTAATCAGGACATTGGAGTTTATTAAAAGAAGAGTTAAAGTGATATCTGCAGTTAAAGGAGTAAAAAAGTAAATTCTCTCTAACAATTTACGCTCAGCTGTGGATTTTAACAAGCGACTGAGTAATCAGTAGAGAGCTCCTTGAGAAGATCTCTCCGTCTGTGTGGGTGGAGGGTGGAGGCTGTCGGGATGGGTCAGACATTATCATGAAGGACCGTTCCTTTTTTTTTAGCTGATAAATAGAGCAGCTGCTGGGCTTCACCCTTCTGTGTCTCATTGCCACAGATTAGCCACTTGCGCTCAGCAGCATACTAGCTAGCTCGGTAGAACATGCAGGAATTAAAGAAAACAACACAGAAAGTCATTGAAGAAATCTTGGATATTTTTTTAATGGGCCACTAGTACTGTATGGTGGTGGACATATTTAAAGCAACACTGCCATCTATCTGTGTATGGGTGGGAAGTAGACCCAGCAGCAGTGCAGAGAAGTGAGATCTGAGGAGACCAGCTAATACATGTAAACAAAGTCTGGACTCAGTCTCTGAACCTGAAAATTAAGGGCTTTTCCAGCTGCAGTTTGAAGTAGTGTTTACTCACCTGACCTGATTGTCTTTCTATTTTCCCAGTAGATGAAGTGTCTGCCTATATTTTTAATTCACTGTTGGATCCCACAGGTTTTTGTTTTTGTTTTTTTTCTTTTTACCTGTGATTTATTTTTTCTTTTTACCAATAAAGTTGGTTATTTTTAAGAAGAAGTCTAATGTTTTGTTTATGTGATTGACTGGTAAAAAAAAAACTATTTGAGTTCAATGTTTTGTCTCTAATTGGGGAAAAAAGATCAAGTACATGTTACCGTTTACACAGGCCAATCACTGTGTCCTGATGAGTCCTGACGTTTTCTGACCATGCATTCTAACGTTAGAAGCTGATGAAGAATTATCTCTAATTGGGGGAAAAAGATCAAGTACATGTTACCGTTTACACAGGCCAATCACTGTGTCCTGACGTTTTCTGACCGTACATTCTAACGTTAGAAGCTGATGAAGAAGTAGAAGATGTTAGAGCTTTGACTGATTTATAGATTAAAATGTCTGTCAATCATATTATTCACAGAGTAGCTGTGGATTAATTATGATCAAAAACAATCAATTTGTCATGATTAATGAAGGTAGATTTTCTTCCAAAACATGAAATAAAATGGTTTTTATTTCTGGATTTAAAGGTTAATGTATGCGTTTCAAACCTGGCTTATTCTGATTATGAATTGTCACCCTGTCGTGGTCAGACTTATTCACTGCCCTGCTCTCAGTGAGGCAGCTCTGATGGAAGCTGAAGCCTCCGCTTGTTGAGATGGTATTTTAATCTCTCAGATTTACAGCGTGCATCATTCTGTCCATGCGTTCATTTTTGTCAACGAATGTGAGACACATTAATCTTCACAAATTAAGGAACGGGACGAGAAACTACACACTGAAAAAAAGCACTGTTTTAAACAGTTTTTCAACAAATAGAACAGATGATTGAAACGATAAAGAAAATCAGAAGCTGAAATTATTTTCCTTAGTTTTTGTCCCATCCAGCTGAAAGAATTTTTTGTTCAGGAATTAATTTTGATTAGCAAATTGTGTTACTACCTCCTTCACAGACTCATCTCGGTCATTTCCATAGCAGTGTTTTTTTTTCCTGTTTCCTTGAAGCTGATTTCACGAGTAAAACTGAACTTAACTCTTACAGATGGACAACCAGACACCCTCCAGTACATTGCAATTTTTCGCCAAGGTATTCTCAGTCTCTTCTTACTGTTTCAACAGCATGAATTTAACTCTTCACTTCCTGTCTGACCTGCTGTGTCTCAATGTGTGGTTTCCACAAATTCATTTTCGTCTCTACGTGCAGATGGCTAATCTGGCCGACGCCAATGTGTCGGAGGAGGATAAGATCCAAGTTATGATAAATCAGTCCATCTATGATTCTGTGAAGTGAGTCACTCACTCATGCCTTTTGTCCATTTTGTCATTTCTTACTGATGTTTTTTCATTTATTTTAAGTACATTTAATGAAATACTTGATTTAATAATTCTTGATTTATAAAAGATCAAAATGGAGAACAAAGTGAATGTAACCCTCCCTTAACTTCTGCACCCAGACGTTTCAAACTGAACCATCTCTTCATGTGTATGCTGTTGTTCCAGTCTTTTCTTATTTTTCTTTTTCTCATCCTAGTTACAGCAGGAAGAGTAACCCCGTTCTTCCTGCAAACTACACCTGTTACCGCTGTGGAAATTCTGGACATCACATCAGAAACTGCCCCCACACTGGGGTAAGAACATAACCTGGGAAAGCGTCTCTTAATCTGGGCAATTTACAGGTTAGTTTGTGTGTTAACGCTAACATGTTACTTTGGTCTTGGGCTACTTTGTGCCGTGGACAATGGCAGGATAAAAACTCAGAGGCTCCTGTGAGAATAAAGAAGAGCTCGGGCATCCCTCGCTCCTTCATGGTGGAGGTGGATGGTCCCAGCATCAAAGGAGCCATGCTGACCAACTGTGGACGATATGCCATTCCTGCCATCGACGCGTGAGTTTTTATCAAATTCAGTCTTTAAAAGAAGTTTTTATGATTTATTAGTGTAATTTTTTCATCGGTGCAGTGCCAGTGGTCAGCTTTCACTTGTTTGGACGGCCCCCTCTTGTGGCCATAGATGATATGGGTTAAATCTTTGATTCAATAAAATGCAGTACCCGTCGAACTAGTAATAAAACAAAATGCGCCTCAAGAGAAATACAGAAGTAGCCATTTTTTTATCCCAATGATACTTCCTGGTAAAATAGAACAAAAAAAATAAACCAATATTTAAGCTGTGGACTCTCAGAGATGTTCTACCGTCCGTGTAATACACTGTAATAGCAGGAACATGTTAAAAAATACAAAGTAAATGATGGCTGTAATTACTGTTTGACTTTTATGGTCTCGGGTTGGTCTGCAGTTCATCAGCTGCAGAGACACGGTTAATGAGGGGGAAGAGTTGTTGTGTTCACTTGTAGATGTCAAATTGCCTGGAAAAATCCCATCTTCATCTGCACAGTTAGGTCACAATTTTCACCATGAGGAGCGTTACAGTTACCAGTCTGGCCGCCTGTGTGCAGCTCACGCCTGTGACTGTGTCTGCAGGGCGGCGTATGCCATCGGCAAGAAGGAGAGGCCGCCGTTCGTCCCTCAGGAAAAACCCATGTCAGAACCAGAGGAGGACCCTGTACCTGATGAGCTCCTCTGTCTGATCTGTCGTGACCTGCTGAGCGACGCTGTCGTCATACCCTGCTGTGGAAACAGCTACTGTGATGACTGTGAGTCGCTGCGGCTGCCCATCTGCAGAAATGCATATTATTGTACTTTAATGTTATTGATATCTTTATGTTTATAATGGTTATTTTGGTGTTAAGGTATCCGTACTACCTTACTGGATTCAGAGGAACACACCTGCCCCACATGTAGCCAACAGAATGTCTCTCCAGATACACTGATAGCCAACAAATTTCTCAGACAGGTAAATAAAAAGATGGGTTTAAAGTAGTGTTTAACAACCCTGTGAGGTTGACTGAAATGTCTTACAGTTGAAAAAAAAAACATACTGATAAAAATATTTTTACTTCTTGAGTTATTTTCTACGCGGGGACTGTAGACTTTGTAATTCATTATAAACACTTTTATAAATTCACATTAAAATGACTTCATTGTTTTTTTTGTCCATGTCTCTCCTCACAGGCTGTGAACAATTACAAGAAAGAGCGAGGCCACGGAAAAAGTCAAACACAGAGGTGCAGCACCACGCCAGCCCCGAGTCCTGCCCCGACCCCGCCCCCACTGACAGTCCAACTCCAACCACAGAAACACCAGCAGGTAAGAATCTTAAGACTCTTAAGTGGGAAAAAAACAGTATTTTTTTTATTAGTATGTGAACTTTCCTGCCTGTTTCATAAATTAATCTTGGCTCTTTTTTTTTATTCTCTTGCAAAAATTGCAGCCGTTAAACACACAAGTATTGGATGGAAATCCTCCTTCCTCTTCCTCTTCCTCTTCCTCTGCCTCTGACACACTCAGGGCGGTACCTCAGACGGAGCAGAGCTCCCTGGACAAACCTCACCAGTATGTACACACAGAAACACCATGATTGCACCGACGAGACTGGAACACACGAGTTAATACAGCTATGTTTTCAGGGTTGAAGACGATAAACCGGCTGCAGCTGATGATGATGATGGTGATGATAATAATGATGAAGGTGATGATGATCCTGCTGCTGCAACGCCTGATCTAGGTTCAGACAAAGATCCTAGTGCTGCTCCCTCACAGTTACCTGCTGCTGCTACGCCTGATCTAGGTTCAGACAGAGATCCTAGTGCTGCTCCCTCACAGTTAATACCAGTGGTAAAGACACACACACACAGAGTTAGAAATCCCATCCCTGTCATTCATCCTATGCTGTGCTATGCTAACTCAAATGCTAACTGTATGACATCATTATTGTGTCTGTTCAGGTTTGTGAGACTGTAAATACAGAGCTGGACCAATCAGATCTAAAGCGGACTTCTTCAGGTGAGTGACTAACATTATTGGATACAGAAATAAAATGAAAAAAAGTGAAAGAATCTTTGATTTGAAATCATCTCTGTTTAATCCCCAAGGACAAGGACTCCAACAACCACAGGGAACGTCGTCCTGCGTGGGAAGGTCAGAATATCATCTGTGCTTGTGTTGAAACTATTTTCAACTGCAAACGATGTTTCACGTCTCTCCTCTCGCTCCTTCTTCTCCACAGCTCCTCTTCCTCGTCTGGTTTCCCCCCCGGAGGCTGGACCGAGTCCCAGCAGCTCCATTCCTCTCCATCCTCTGCCTTTTCGCCATCGGCTCCACCTCTCTTCCCCCCCTCTCTCTACCACCCGTACCTCACAGCTCACCAGTCTCACAGCAGTTACCCACCTGGTTACCCACCTGGTTTCCCTCCTTGTTTCCCGCCTGGTTTCCCGCCTGGTTACCCGCCTGGTTTCCCACCTGGTTTCCCGCCTGGTTTCCCGCCTGCTCCACCCGTCTGGACACTGCCATGTCCCCAAACAGCTCCTATCCCTCCCCTCTGCTCCTCCACTACCACCTCCACTCTTCCTGCTCTGGTCCCTAAGGACTGGCACAGGCACCAGAGAACAGGGAAGGAGAGGTGAATATTCTTTGTTTGAAACTAGATGTGTTGATTTACACTGACAGAAATGTGTCGTTATTTTTACCATGTTAAATCACGTTTGTTTGTACAGGTTGTAGCGATAAAATAAATTAATTTCAACTCAACTGTTTCTTTGTGCTTCAGGTCACCTCACAGGGACTCCACCTACAGAGACTTGTCTTCGCGCTCCGAGTCCAAGTCGACCCGCTCCCACTCACGCTCTTCAAGCAGATCCCGTTCGCGATCCAGATCACGGGGCAAATCCAGGTGTTTAGTTTGGTGCAGAAATGTTACCTTTTTGGTGAACTGGGATTAATTTAGGTATTTACATTTATGTTAAGTATAATTTAATAACCCCCCCCCCATTTTTCTCCATTCAGGCAGAGCTCACCTTACTCTGGTCACCACGCTCCTCCCTCTCACTCCAGTGCCTCCTACACCTACGGCTACAAACGTCTGCGCTCACCCACACCGTCCTCGTCCTCTTCACCTCAAGTCGACTACCGTTCCAGGTCCAGGTCACCATCGGTCAACCGCAAGGACCACCACCACAGTCACCATCACAGCAAGAAGTCTTCCTCTAGTGGTTACAGCTCCTCGAAGCGAGAGGAACGCTCCAGGAGGGAAGAGGAGGGACATGGATCCATATCCAGTAGTAGGGATTTGGAGAAGGAGCACTACCAATCCAGTAGGGATTTGGAGAAGGAGCACTACCGACAGTGGAAGAAACATTACAAAGAATGGTGCGAGAAATATCTGAACAGTTACGTGAACCAGTTCCACCAGATTCCATTCATCAACTTGTCTCCTCCTCCTCCTCAGTGGGAAGGAGGCACACATTACTCACATGGCCATTCTAACCCTCGTTCGCACAGCTCGAGCCGAAAGAAAGACTGTTCCTCGCCATCGAGGTCGTTCAGCGACAGCTGCTCCCCTTCATCTCACTCGTCAAGCGACAGTCGCTCCACGACCTCTCGGTCATCGAGCGACAGTCGCTCGACTCCACCTCACAGGTCCCAATACGACCGTTCAACCCGCTCCCGTTCGTCCTGCAAAAATCGCTCAACACCAACGAAATCCAAAGCTGATTTAAGGAAAAATCAACAAAAGAAGAATCACCGCTCCCCACGGACATCTGGGAGAGGCAAAGATAAGGAGAAGGAAGTGCAAGAAAGAGTCCCAGATGACAAGCTGGTTGTTTTTGAGGAGCGCAGCTTAATTGACCAGGAGCAAAGAGAAACAATAAAAATAGAAGACAGAAAGGATGAGCGTGGACACAGCACTGGAAGACGTGGTACATCAGCAGGACATTCAGCAAAATTCAACCAGGATAAATCTGTGGATAGGGACTCTGCAAGAGGCAGAGAGAATGAGAGTCATTTAGAAAGTTGGGAAAGGTGTGGAAAAAATAAAGAACATGACATAAAGTTCAGTAAAGAGGGCAGAGACAGAAGCTCAATGGGGAATAGGAAAAGAAGAGAAGAGACCGTGCAGAAAAGAAAACCTCACCAAAATGAATCCCCCAATCGCTGTGACAAAAAGAAACCAAAAAAACAAGACAAGGAAGAGAGAAAAACTAAGCATCAGAGATCAGGAAATATCTGGGAAGGAGGGATAACAGTGAAGCCACAGAAGAAAATAAGCATCAATATTAACTTGGATGGGAAAAGGAAAGAGGAAAATTTTGAAAAACACGAATTTCCCTCAGAAAACCCACAGACAGAAGTGGAGTTGGCGGTTGATGGAAGAGAGTTGAACAGAAAAGATGAGGTCGTCCAAGTGACGGTAAAATCAAAATCTGACGGAGATGAGGAAAACCAGATCAAACCAGAGGAAGAAGAGACAAAGGCATCATGGGAAAAGGCTGCCACTGGTGATGACAAGGTAGGGACGTGGACTAAAGTTGCTGGAGAAGAAGAACATGTGGTGGAAAAGAAAAAAGACAGAGAAGAAGAGGCTTTTGACTTGTGGCACTGTGCCCTGAGGGGAGACGATGAAAAGGAGGAGATCAAAGAGCAGGAGGAAGGAGACGTGATGAAGGGCAGCAGAGGACACGAGCTGGTAGAGGGAAGATTGACAGGTGAGGACGATTCAGAGCAAGACATTGGACAGGTAGACAGAAAAGCAGAGAGAGGAACCAGCAGAAACAGGGACGAGGAGCTCATGAGAAGAGAGGAAATGATCAGGATAGAAGATGTGGTGAGGTCCAAGACGGAGAGGAGCAGCGATGGGAGACAGAAGTCCAACATGGACAACGACAGGTCAGGACAAAAGCAGCAATTAACATCTAATTGTGAATGTAATTATTTATTTAATTAATTTGTTTCCAGTATAAATCTTTTTATTTATAATGTGTTTGTGTTTCCTCTTGTTTCCAGTATAAATATTTTTATTTATAATGTGTTTGTGTTTCCTGCAGCACTAAGGATCGTAAAGATACGTCAACAGTGATTCAAACTCTGGAGGAATTCACCCAGGACAGAGCTGACCAGAGGGAGGACCAGCTAACACTCTCACAGGTTTGTTTTATCAACCGTCACCGTAACATGAAGTGGTTGGTGATCACAGTCAGAGTCACATCCTTCTTAACTCTGTACTACATCAGGTGCCTCACTCCAAATGGGATCGCAAAGGGTCTGGAGAGGAAGAGGTGAATCAAGTAGACGCCAGAGCCCAAGAATCTTTTCCTCTGACTTTACCATCAGTGCCACCCACCGACAGGGAGACACAGAGCGATTACAAGAGACAGAGGTCAGTAGACACAGAGAGGAACAGGGTGAGTGCTAGGGAGAAAGAGAAAAACTTTAGAGGTGTGTCTCCCTCTAGTGGCAAAACCGCAGGTGCGTCTACAGGCAAAGATAAGGGGAAATGGTTGGAGTTTGACAGGTGTAGGGGCACAGACCAAGAGAGCGAGAGTGAGAGAACAAGAGACAGACAAGGAGAGAAAAAAAGGTCAAAGGATGAAGAAAGGACAGGAGACAGGGAACACAGGAGCTACAGAGCTTCAGTTCAGGAAAAGACGTGTTTTCATTCCTCGTCTCAGTCAACATCCCAGGACGTGGAGAGGAGAGGTAGTCAAAGCAGAAGTGACCCTGTCCCCGGAAAGTCTCCCTACACCCTGCTCTCTGGTCACAAGTTATCTGGCTTTGACTCCAACGACAGAAATGTGATTAACACCACAGTGAATGTGCCAGGTAGGTATGAAAACAAAACACATCGAGACAGGGTGTCAGATCCCCGTGACCAGAGAGATTACAGAGATCCAACGGGAAACAGACACGACGACAGAGCTGCTAAAACCTGCCAATCATCACCTTCCCTCCTCATCTTCAGCGATAGACAGCCGGTGTCTTTTGAGTTGTCCTACTCAAAGTCCAAAATGACTAGGATGAGCAGTCCTGACATAAAATCTAAGAAGAAAGGCAGAGATGAGGGCAGGACGGAGAAGGAGCAGTGGAAGAGAAGTAAAGATGATAAAGTGACCAAGGAACACAAGAGGCCGAGAGAAACTGAGGCCGAGACCAAAGCAGGGAGTCGGTGGGAAAATGAGGAAGATAAATCTTCCCCCATCTTTAAATGGAAACGACGGGAGCTGGAGGAGGGAGAGAGGCCCAGTGTTTCATACAGCAGCAGCAGTAGGAGCAGCAGCAGCAACAGCAGCAGCAGTAGCTCACTGGTCAGTCAGGAGAGCAGCAAGGAGAGAAAGGATGGCGAGAAGATGGAGAAGAATGAAGCTGCCCTGAAGCCTTTTGAAGAAAGGCCGCTAAAGAAGCACAGATATGAAGATATGAGGAAGAAGTAGCTGTAGAGATCTGAAGTTAGGAGAGAGTGAGCAGGATGACGGATGGAGAGAGAGAAGGTAGACCCTGCCGCTGTGCTGCCTTCGGTTATCCCAGTTATTACTGAGGAAAAATGATTACTTGAATCGTGAAATGTGTTTATGGGTTTTTCTGTCCACAAAGTGCCTGGATTTATGTTCACACTTGTTTTGCCAGGAGGCTTTCTGAATTACCTTACATTTATCACAAGCAAAATAATAAATACGACAACAATTGGTGAAGAAAAAGCACTTTAAACACGATGGTAAGAATTAAACCAAACGTCAAACCTTTTTTTGTTTATGGATTTTGCACATTATCAAGTTTTTCTCAGGACAGTCAGAAACTGTAGTTTATGTTTACTACACTTGAAATGTTACAGCTGAAATGATTTTTCTTTGCAAAATAAGCAGCAAGTGTGAATATTTATTATATACTTGAATCTCTGTGTTGTGTTTTCCTTAATTTTTTGAATATTTGATTTAAAAAATAATGCCTACTTGGGAAATAAAATATGTACCAGAGATATAAATATACTTTTCCTGTTCTGGAGAAAATAAAAATGAAGAAATGCAGAAATTGTTGACTTTGGGTCCAGTGTTCTTTCTAATTTTTTCAAGATTGTCACTCTGTAAACGGACTAAAATGTGACCTCCAGGAGTCACAGTAGTAACGGTTACACATGGAGTCGGTTCTGACAATTGTTTTGTTAATTTATAAAGCCTAAAATTTTGTCCACTTTTGTCTCTGAAATAGAAACTTTGTCTAGTCAGAAATAAATGTCCATGTATTTGGGATCTTCCTCCTTCAAATGATTTAAGTTGACAAAGTGTATTTTGTACTTTGTTAAACCAACCAGAAGTCTCAAAATGTTGAAACATCTTCTATAAGGATTTAGATGCTGCTGTGAAGTGCGTCCAAGCTTTTCCCTCTTGGTCGAGTCACTACTGTGGAGACGTGGCAGAGATCCAGTGTCTGTGTCTGCCTGGTCTCAGTGTTGTCGTCTCCATGTGTCAGGCCAAAAGGTTGAACTGTTTGGTGAAGGATTCCCTTTGTTTTTCTTTGAAGGAGACACAGGGATGAATGGTAATGAATTAGGAAATCTACCTGTGACAAATGACTTCAAAATAGCCCATTAACACCATGTTTTTCCCAATCGTATGATCCTATTCCTTTTTTCTTCTTCCTCTCCTGCACCACTGCTTCCTCCAGACTCCTGCATTCTGTGTCTCTAAAGCTTTTGGATGCTTTTTCACTCACTAGATAAACTGACTGATATGTGTGCAGATTAAGAGAACAGAGAAGAGGGTATATGCAAAGTGAGGAAAGAGACAGCAGACAAATCCACAGACAGACAGACAGAGATCCAGACAGACGGACGGAGACAGACAGACAAGTGGACCCTGTAGCAAACAGAAGCGGCATCCCTCCTGCCCTCCCCGTGTGGCGTGGATTCGTAAACGAGGTACACTTTTGTCACATTTGTCTTTAGCCTTCTTTATTTCTCCTGTCCCACCACTGGTTCGCACTTGGTGTCTCTCCTTATGCGTCGTTTTTCTTTTTTTGTTTTGTCTTTCACGCTTTCGTCTGGGTTTTCCTTTCCTTCCTTTGTGCCCGAGATGTGTGCCGACGTCTCAGGGCACGGTGCCAGCACTGCCTGATGGAGACAGAGCTGTGTGTGTGTGTGTGTGCCCTGCTGCTGCCATGTGTATTGGCTTGTATGATGCAGCTGCAAACACTGGTCAGTTTGCTTACATTTACTGTATGTGGTCAGTAACATGTTCAGCCGGTGGAAGTCGTGATAAAACACCGAGCACGGTTTTGGAAATTACTGGAAATGTGAGTTGTTGAAGAGAAATTAGCAAAGGTATCCAATGAAGGAATGTGTTCTTTCATGATCTGTGTATTCTCTGTGTTGAATTATACTGTACATTGATCATCCAGCCATCCATCCATCCATCCATCCATCTTTGGCTGTATCCAGTCACTTTAGCCTTCAGCCAATACTCATGTCGCAGTTACACAACAACAACTAATATATATATTTATATATATATATATATTAGAATATTAAATATAAAAAGAACAATAAAATGTTCTTAAAGAACCTAAGCAAATGCAAGGATCTCATAGAATAAGATGTCAAGAACATAAAAAAACAATGTGTTTTGACATGAAGTATTTCTCGTCCTACATGATAAAAACGCTGGGTCTAAAAGTCTCAAGGTTGCATTTGACCGTAGTTGTACTTTTGTTACTCATCATGTGACTAATAAACTTTTGGAACTTGAATCTTTAACCACTTAACAGTGTGTGTTAAAACCAAGGCGATGAGACACAGAGAGGAGCCGGAGGACGGCCATGTTGGTATGAATGTGGGACAGTGATCTGACATCAACAATGATTCATGATTCTAATGATAAATCACCATAAGATGTGTGTTAGTGTGTGTGTTAGTGTGTGTGCTCGTGTGTGTGTGTGTGCGCTCGTGTGTGTCCCTCAGTGCCCCCTAGGTTTTAACAGAGTGAGTGCCAGGAGTAAAAGCTGGCTTTAAAAGGAGTCTGTTGGTGGCAGATGTTGCTCTGGCACTGATGGAATGTGTGTGTGTGTGTGCGTGTGTGTGTAGTTGGGCGTTTGTGAGGTCATCTGCAATTGTGTGTATGCAAATTAGCTCCCCCTCCCCTTTGTATTTCCTAATGTTGAATGGTATTTAGCATTTGTAATGTGTCATGACAACATGTGCCTGGCTGTGTGTGTGAGTCTGTGTGTGTGTGTGTGTGTGTGTGTCTGTAGTCCAGCCTGGCCTCTGTTTTGACCGCAACTGTGTGCAGAATAACAATGAGCACCTTAGGATTGTCAGGCTCTGCGTGTGTGTGTGTGTGTGTTTTACCCCATTGAATTTAAGAACAGACTCACTCTTCAAACACAGATGCACAAAAAAGGTGATTTCACTTTTGAGGTCAAATACCAGAGTGAAGACATGAACAATCATCAAGTTGACACAATAAACTGTCAAAGAAAAAGTATGTGGTAAATTGTCCCTCAGATGTTTACAAACTAAATCATATATTAAATCACCTGCAGGGGTGCTGTGTTACATATGTTAGGATCGATGGTACAATAGTAGTGTTTTATATAAATGTCATTCACTAACTGGAGCAAAGAAGTTTCGTACAGAAATTAGCATGCCTCAGGTGAAGACTCATTAACATGCGGATGAGAAGAGAAGGCGGGGCTTATATGGGAGTTATGCAGATTGCTGTCATTTCATTTAACATAACCTGGACAGACATTCTGACACAGCCAGGATTTTTCTTCTCTCTCTCTCTCTCTCTCTCACACACACCAGGCAGCTCCATCCCTTACATCTTCATCATGTCCATCGTGGTTACTTCTGTCTTCTAGACAACACCACTGACCATACAAAACCATACATCAAGAAAAATCTCTCTGCCCTTTTGAAAAACGTTAATCATGGAGCCTGTGACCTATTGTTAAACTGAAATGTGCAGTAGATGTGAAGGCAACGCTGAAAATAACCAGGAACAGTCCTTTCCTGGAGAACGTCCAGGGCTAAGAACATGCAAATAAGGTGAAGCAGCTGCCCCGTCCTCCCCAGGCCTCCAACCCCCTCCTTTCTTTTGTGGCGAATACAGTGGGTGCTAGTACCCTAGCCCTCCCTCCCTCCCTCCCTCCTTCCCTTCCTTCCTTGATCCCTCTTAGCGATACTGACCTTCCCCCAACAAAAGGCTGACCCCTTCATCAAAGCACTCTTCAACAGAGTGTAGACAGTATGACATAGTGTTAGTTTGAGATGACTTGGCTTCAGGTCCAGGTCCAGGATCTGGGTCAGTTCTTCCAGGGGATAAATATGAAATCTACAAAATATATTTTCTTTTACGAAGTCGCTTGACTGTAAGGTGAAACATTTTAACGCAGCTTTAGCTAGCGTGGGTCATTATTCCTCTCTTACTCTATCCGTTACTAATTCTACTTAGTTATCACTCTGTCGTTTGGGTTCGCTGAGATGTAAAAATGTGCACTGTCCCTTTCCCCAAGGCATCTTTTCTTTTTTGCTTTTCCTCTATTTACTTTTTAATCTCTCCCCCCCTCCCCCTCACTCTCACTCTCACTCTCACTCTCTTATTCTGACAGTCATTGCTGGTCTTTTGTTCTTGGCAGAATAAGAACCAATTGCTATCTGGCACTCGGCCAGTCTCCAGCAGAGAAAGGGAGGAGGGGGAGTTGGAGGGTCCTCCCCTGCACACACACACACACACATTGTTATACACTTTCACCAATCAGCCACACCTGTCAGTGGGTGGGACATACAGTACTGTACTGCACTATTGATCAATGACTTTATGAGTATTGAATGAAAGTATAAATGGTGACAATAACAATCTCACGTAATGATGACAACAACAACACGGTGTTGCCGTGTGACCTGTCACTTCCAATCAAAGGGGCCAAAAAATGCTTGTAGGAAGTGGGAAAAATAGCCTGTAAATGTACCGCAGTCTGTGATTGGACCTCAGTTTGAACAAAAAGTAAATAATGAACGTGTCTTATCGTCGTAAGGACAGCGTTTTAAAGTTGTCACACCTCAGTGGCAAAGTAGTGAATATAAATTCTGTTATTCTGTTTAGACTATAAATACTGTAAATACATGTTAGAAGCATCAGACTGACATTCAGTTGGTATTTGACGGACTTTTACCGTTAAAAGAATCTTAAACCTCAGCGCCTGTTATTCGGTGTCTACAGTAGCTTCTTATTTTCCCCCGGGGAGAAATAAATGGTCTTAATTAGAAATTCCACCTCAGGAAAGACGTTGAGACGTCATGTGTGACGTTTGGTTTATTTGCGTGTGTGTGGGTGTGTGGGTGTGTGGTTTTAAAAGGAAACTCAATGCTCTTATTAATAAGTAATTTTAAAGGGAAACTCAATGCTCTTATTAATAAGTAATGTGGACAGAAACTCTACGCACACACATACCTGCACAGAACACAGCGGTGACTTGTGTGGATACACACTTGCCCTTTTTACTCAGTCTGATGAAAACACAGGTTTTTTATGGTCAGTGAAAAGGTGCAGGAACAGAAGGCTTTGGTGCTTCACCTAAATAACCTTTGTAATATTTTCAAGTCAAGGAAACTGTACAAACTGTGCCCAAAGTGAGTAGGTCCTGAAGTTAATTCTCCTTTTTATAATTATTAATTTGTAGGTGGACGAC